CTTCTTCTTCTTCTTCTTCTTCTTCTTCTTCTTCTTCTTCTTCTTCTGCTTCTTCTGCTTCTCCTTCTTCTCCTTCTCCTTCTCCTTCTCCTTCTCCTCCTCCTCCTCCTCCTCCTCCTCCGCTTCTCAAAAGGTTCAGCAATGAATCTTCATCCTTGATAAGTACAAGCAGGTGTGAATGAGCCTCCATTGGCTTTCCTAAATTTGAATACATCAGCAAGTCAAAATACTTAACATTTTTCTGACAAGATAGCAATGTTCCCAAGATAGGTGTAATATATATATTCTTGAGGGAGGGAGGGAGGCTCTCTCCTTTTTTCAAAGAGCTCGTGTGTGAACTGTGCACACACAACACACATCATTTCTGTTTGATAAGTGATCACAGTTATGAAGCCAGGAGCACCTTTTATGTCTGAGGAGTTATGTTAGATGGGCCCAATTTTGACCACAGAAAATATGGTTCCTGAATACCATTTCTGGTTAGATTTATGAACTTTTGACAGACTTTACTCGGGCTGTAGGTTAGACAGAGAAGTTAAGACACAAAATGAAAGTGAAGGTGATGGAAAACCACACTTGTACCATTGCTGAGAAGTGTGTGTGGGTTTGTCTCTGAAGTTGCCAGAAGCCAAGCTGGAGACAGCTGAACCCCAATTAGATTGCTCCTTCCAGCAATGTTCTGAAGTTGCCATTTGTCTCAATTTCATCCCATCTTGTTTTTTTCTGTTCATCCCCATCTCAAAGTTGGGTGACCCAGATGATGTATTTTCATAGCTTTTCATTAAGTATCAAGAACCGACTGCCTCATGCATGGCCTGTTTGATGGTTTAAACATATTTCAGGGATTGTCACAGAAGGCAACCAGTGGTGGGATTCAAATATTTTTACTACCTGTTCTGTGGGAGTGGCTCGGTGGGCGTGACTTGGTGGTCACGGCAGGGGAAGGATACTGTAAAATCTCCACTGCCACCCCACTCCTTGGGGAAGGATGCTGCAAAATCCCCTTCGCTCCCCATCCCACTAACCTGCTTTCCAGCTCTGTTCTCCTGTGCAGGGCAACCAAAGAAGACCCAGCCAAGCAGCTGGGACTCAGGAGGCAGAGAACAGATAGGGGTGGGGCCAGTCAGAGGTGGGATTTGCTGGTTCTCTGAACTACTCAAAATGTCTGCTACCGGTTCTCCAGAAATGGTCACCTATTGTGCACCTATTTCAAAAAACTACAAAAGTGGTGAATGTGAAGAATGTGTACAGTAGACAAATTGTGACTATTCCTTTGGTGGGGGCATAACGATTTAAGACAGTTTAAGAGTTATAAAATTATTAGCAGGGGACTGAGAAAAGTGGGATCATGAAATGGATTTTCACGGAAACGTGCATTGATTTCTTGAATTCATCTAACATTCTGAAATAGGCTACAACAGTAGAGAAGAAGTGTAGCTCAGGCTTGGTGTGTGGTGCTGTTTGAGGTTTCTGAGGTAGGCTTTTAAATCCAAATATTTTATTATCACAGTAGGTAATGTCATCCATGCAGGAGGTGTGGAGAAGTGAGATTCATTGGTTGGCAGATGACAAGATACGACCTTTGTATTAAATTGGTTATGCTCAGTGAGGGACTCTGTGGAGTTAGCAATCTCCATGTGAACGACATCCTTGGTTACATCTTTTGATCGATCCATAAATAAGTTTAACGTGTTGTTGGCTGATGGCTACTTGGTCAGAGTGAATTCTCTTGCATTTTTGGCTTATTCCAAAATGTCCACTGCTTCCTTGCCCTGTGGAAGCTAAGTCCTACCTCGTCTTTGTGAAGGGAGATTAGTGATAGAGTAGAGGTGGTATTCAGTAGGTTCTGATCAGTTCTGGAGAACCGGTAGCATAAACTCTGATAGTTTGGAGAACCGGCCAATCCCACCTCTGACTGGCCCTGCCCCCATCTATTCTCTGCCTCCCGAGTCCCAGCTGATGGGCTGGGTCTCCTTTGGTTGCCCTGCACAGGAGAACAGAGCTGGAAAGCAGGTTAGTGGGGTGGGGAGGGAATGGGGATTTTGCAGTATCCTTCCCCTAGAGTGGGGTGTCCGCTCATAAAACATTCCTATGCCTGTTTTAGTAGTTGCCACAAAAGGGGGTACATTCCAACTCTTATCTTTAAAAGATTGTAACTAAACTATCAGAACTTTCGCCCCCAAATATATTTAATTGGATGGAAATGGGGATTTTGCAGTATCCTTCCCCTGCCATGCCCACCAAGCCACACCACGCCCAGCAAGCCATTCCCACAGAACTGGTAGTAAAGAAAATTTGAATCCCGCCACTGTGATAGAGCATTGTCTCTTTCAGCCCCTCGTTGTTGCTCGTGTTTTATTTTGACTCCTCTTTTGAATTTGTGCCTTCTAGTTTGCAAAAAAGATAGAAGGAGAACTCATTCTCAGGGTGGTTTAAACCTGACCTTGTCAATTATATAAGGCGACTCTCCAGGTGACATGAATCTAGAGACGGGTGGTATGTATTGTTGACCTTTTCTTCTTCTTGCTTTTATAGATCACCCCTGGCAGCAAGGCAGCCCAATCTCAGATGACTCAGGGGGATATGGTGATAGCAATTGATGGCGTCAACACAGATGGCATGACCCACCTAGAGGCCCAGAATCTGATCAAATCAGCAAACTACAACCTGAATCTCACTCTTCAAAAGTATGCAGAGATAAGTCACTATCCATACAAAGAATTCAATGCTTGTTTGCCTTCCTACTTCAAGATAGCTTAGAGGTTCCATCTGTGATATTATCCCCATTAGCCCCATTATACAGTATAGAAGCAAGCTGACCAACCATCTCAGAGATATACCTGTTTTATGATGTCTAAAAGGAACCTTTCTATCTGTCTTTGGGCAACCCAGAAGTGAACTGGTCTATGAGTAACTGTAACTGTAATTTCAGCACAGGAGAATGAGGTTTGTCCTTGAAGAAAATGGGTTCAAAGGTTCAATAGATCTCTGTTGTAAAAACTCAAATAGCTGGATGGTTTCAGCCAAGTTTTTACTTTGCCACTATCTAGTGCGGTGCTACGTAACTTTAGCCATTTTAAAGAGGTGTGGACTTCTTGGGGTGTTCTGACAGTTGAAGTCCACACCTTTTAAAATGGCTAAGGATGGGAAACACTGATCTAGTGGCTGTCCAGGTTTGTATACCCTTAATAATAAGAATGAAGATTCATTTTTTTGTCCAAGTCTGCATTCCATTGTTCAGAATGCCCACATCTCAGCAGAGAACACAACCAAAACTGTGTGGAGCCACACGAACAGCAGGAAGCAGTCTGGCCTGAGATCAATTTAATGATTTGGACAGGTTGGCTCAGAAAATTCTTTTGCCTCCTCAAGTCTGAAGTTCTCCATTTTTGGTGTCTCAAATAAGAGGCTTTCAATTGATGGGATCCTGTTTTATTTCCTCTAAAAGTAAACCCCCAAGCAAGATTCTCTGGTAGTAGAAAAGTTCTGGCCAGAACTGACTTAAATACACAGCTAGAACAGTTCAAATGAAGAGCAGATACAACTATTTTAGGGTTTTCTATTTTCAGGTTAGGACGATTGAGATGAGTCTATTAAAAAAGCATATAAAAATTCAGTGAAGGGTATTTTGCAACAAGGTCTCCTTCAACCTGAATGGGGTGGGGGGCTGGGGAGTGGAGAAATATGAGGTCCATTTTTAATGAGATCTAAAATGTAGACTTTTGCTGCTACCAGCGAGAAATGCTTTCCTCCCGATTGCTCCTTGCAGCAATGACATTTCCTTTATCAATTCTGACTCTGACAGTTTCATGGGGATTATTTACAATATGGTAGCTTCTATAGAATTTGGAACCACTTTTTATTGGACAAATAAGCTTGCTTCTCAAATTTGCTGAACTGAAAAGTCAATAGACTGGCTGTTCTTGTTTTTGAAAGCTGTTGTTGTACTCTTTGCATAAGGAGAGAGGGTGTTTTTCCTCACTTATTTATATAGAAACAAATATTGATTAAAAGGAAGAAATGTTGCAACGTTAATTGAAATCCTCAAACAGAATCATTTCCAATGATTAGGGCTGCAAAATTCCAAACAACCACTAGAAGGCAACAAAGCCAGTTTTCTACACGTTCCTTTCCTGCCATCTAGTGGCTGTCTTAAGTTCTTACACACCTGGTTGTTTTATAATAATGCTTCTCAGTGCTGGGCCATTTGTAGAAAATAGAAATATTAAGTAGGGGTTTGTTTAGACCTTGGCCTTCCTTCTATCCAAAAATTACAAAGCTAAAATGGAGAGTGTTTTAGTGGGGCTGGTAGTTAAAGTGAAAAAAACGATACTAAAATTAACTATTAAAAAAAAGATGAAATAATGACAATAGAACAATCACCCTTAGGATTTACACTGAAGATATTGAAATAATGGAGATCTTCTGGCTTTAGCTATCAGGCTGCCATAAGCAGAAGTTAGGTATCATATGACTTGCCAACTCTGTCTATAGCTGAACAATTGTCTTAGCCATCTTGTAAGTCTTTGGGTCAAAAATACCAGAAGTGTTTTGACATAAGTGGCCCTATTAGATTGTTAGAACGATTCTTTTTGGTGGTTAGTACATCAATACAGAAGGATGAGCATGAATGACCTCTGTTTTGTATAGCCTGTTGAAGCCGATATTTTCTTTTTTATTTGTTTCAAGTGTCAGGGAATGGTCAATTAAGCATGAGAAGTGTTTCCATCACAACCATGGCTCAACTTTTATATTTAAGAAGTGTCAAGCCCAAAATTGACATATGCGTAGCCATTTTATTTAGCCGTATTATATATTCCTTTTCTTTCTTTCTCTTTGCTGGTTATGGAGGGAAGGGTTTTGGGCTTACCACATTCCTAAGGTGGGAGGAGTAGAGATAGAGAGAGTTGTTTAGGCTAAGTGGTGTTTCTTCCTGTGGGAACAAAAGCTGACCCTGCTGAGATGTGGAGATGGAGATTGATGACACCAGGCAACGTTGATTTACTTCTATTGGGGAATGGGATTTTTTGGGGGGTGTTCCTAATTTCCAATATTATGTGGTATAATATCGGGTTGTGTCAGATGCAAAATTAAAACAGACTTTGACAATTTGATGCTTTTCTAGATAAAAAAAATCGTTTGGAAGATGGACTTTGTTCTTTTCTTTTTAAATGGATTTCATCACTTGGAAAGCTGACATTATTCCTGACCTGACACAACCCAGAATTACAAAGTTGTAAAAGAGTTACTGATGAAACAGCTGCAGCAAAGCTGCAATAATCCCAGTTGTGCTTTCAAACCATGGAAAAATTCCTCCAGGGTTCCCCATTAATGTAGCAAACAAACCCTAACCAACAACCACAAAGATTGACTGTGTTCAACGGGTTGGCTCCTTGAGTCAGTATCTGATAATCTCTTTGCTCTTTCAGATCTAATGCATTTGCTCCACACATCTTTCTAAATCCCTATAAATTGTGTTCTATTATGCCATTCAGATTCATAAGTGAAGAAAATAATTATTTATTTGTTATTTGTTAGATTTTTTTTTAATCCCACTTTTACTACTTTATGAGTAACTCAAAGCAAATTAAGAAGCTCTTGATTTAACAGTTTTGAAAGATTACCTTCCTGGTAGTGGTGGCGAATCTTGTTAATCATTCAAAATAGTGGTGGGATTCAAAATTTTGTACTACCGGTTCGGTGGGCGTGGCCTGGTGGGCATGGCCTGGTGGGCATGGCTGGAGAAGGATACTGCAAAATCCCCATTCCCTCCCCAGCCCACTAACCTGCTTTCCAGCTCCGTTCTCTTGTGCAGGGCAACCAAAGAAGACCCAGGCAATCAGCTGGGACTCAATGGGAGGCAGAGAAGAGATGGGGGCGGGGCCAGTCAGAGGTGGGATTTGCCAATTCTCTGAACTACTCAAAATTTCAATTCCTGATTCTTCAGGACCAGTCAGAATCTGCTGAATACCACCTCTGATTCAAAGGTTAGTGAATAAATGAGAGAATTTGATGAGTTGGGAGGGAAATGCTTCAAGTCAGCTGAGAAATGCTTTCTTTCTAATTCTAGCACCCTGAAATGGATTCAAAGCCGTTGGTAGACAGGATATCTTTATTTTGCAAACTTCAAGTAGGTTTGTTCAGTGGAGGAATCTTGATAAGGCCGATAAATTCACGATTGGCACCCAATAGAGAGATTAAATAGCAGTGAAGGATACTGTCTGTATAACTGCCCTTTGCATTGCTATGGATTTTCCAGCAACTGAGCTAGTCTTCTTGTTGAACAGAAAGCATATTACAGTGTGCTAGGTCTCATTTGTGTACCACAGCATGATTCTCAAAAGCATTTGTCCAGGCATGAGATGAGATCATTTCCTGGGTCAACGTGGGCTGTGCAGATAATCAATGCAAAGATTCAGTTCAAACATGTCTTGGCTGAACCATTCCTTGAAGTTCAATGTTATCATATTGGTTTGATGGTTCTAGTCAGACTCAATGTCCTTGAATCGCTTGGTTAGGTCTGTGTACGTGTTCAAATGTCTATGCAAATATGCCCATCTTATTACAACCCATCTTATACTCTTTGTAGAACCATGGTTTCGGAAACTAGCCATTATATTCACTAAGTTATGCTTAAGCAAACCATGGTTTAGCATGACATACACACCAGGTTGGAGAACTGTATGTGCAATGATTCCATTTAATTCACCCTGGACTTCAGTGTCCTTCTTCAGAATGACATGGAGCTCCACAGGATATTCCACAAGCTCTGGAAGGGGATCAGATCAGATCAGATCAGATCAGATCAGATTAGATTAGATTAACAGAGTTGGAAGATACCTTGTAGGTCATCTAGTCCAACCCCCTGCCCAAGAGTTGTGGTCTTCCTCTTTCTCAGAAGGATCCAACGCAAGACTCATTACAGAGATGGCGTCCTTGCAATGAGAAAGGCAATTTCTAAATCCTTGGCATCCGCTTCATTACATCTGAGTGACAAAGGGTGAATCTGTTTCAGTGCACACCAGAAGAAGATACAGTGCAAATTTAATTCGAAAGCAAGCCTCTTTATTTGTAAGAGGAGAGAACATTGGAAAAGCCTGGAACCAGACACCAAAGCATGAGCAAGCAACTTGTTCTTTCTCGTTCCATCTATGAATATGAGGACAATATTAATCGCCTCTTTGGGTTAATTGACATCTGCATTTGAAATAAGGGAAGGGAAGAAAGAGGAATGGAGTAAGGCTTAGCCAAGAAGCTGCAATATTACATTTTCCTTTGTGAGCTCTCTGACAACTATTTTTTTTAATTTAAACACCTGTGTAGTAGAGAGAGTTTACAGACATTGCCATGTGCTACAAGCCATGTTGATGTCATGATCATATCATATCTTCCCTCCATAGCTGCCTGCCTCTACAGCTCAAAACCTAGGATCAGAAGAGGCTGAATTTAGTACCTGTCCTTAACTTCAACTAGGAGTATCCATAGAGTATGGGCAAACCAGTCAAAATAGGTGCAATGGTGCAATCAAAGAAACATTTAGACTCTCTCCTTGGACATTCTGACTGTAAACCAAGAAAGATAAATATTGCAGTGTTCATTCAGCCTTAATATACTCTTCATCTCTAGTTTCTTATTTTATTTTATTTTGAATTCAGAAGCCTCTGAGAAGTAGAATTGTCCAGTTTTGTCTCTGTGCCCCAGCCTGTTTGGCTTAGTACAGTTAAAGGTAAAGATAAAGGTTCCCCTCACACATGCGTGCTAGTCATTTCTGGCTCTAGGGGGCAGTACTCATCTCCATTACAAAGCCGAAGAGCCAGCACCGTCCAAAGACGTCTCCATGGTCATTTGGCTGGCATGACTAAATGCCGAGGACACACGGAACGCTGTTCCCTTCCCACCGAAGGGGTCCCTATTTTTCGACTTGCATTTTTACATGCTTTCAAACTGCTAGGTTGCCAGAAGCTGGGACAAGTAATGGAAGCTCACTTCCCTACACAGCGCTAGGGATTCAAACCGCCATACTGCTGACCTTTCTGATTGATGAGCTCAGCGTCTTAGCCACTGAGCCACCGCGTTCCCCTCCACAGTACAGTTGGAAGGTCTAAATGTGAAATTAACTGTTGGGTCAGCGGCCCAATCATGAACCAGTAGAAGGAAAGAAGAAGTAGATAATGATGGACATTGGCCTGGTGTGTTTTTTCTTTCAACCAATGAAATTGTGTTTCGTCCATGGCCTTATGGACAATTGAATTTAAAGAAATGTCATTCCTTAGATTTCACCTCTCTTCTCCTCATTTTCCTGCAACTTAAGGCTCTGGTTTCATGTGTTTGTTTGTACTTATATGGAACTCTTTCTCCTTAGTTGCAATTTTGAAATTCCTGTGTTGTTGGGAAGAAGATGAATGGACGAAAGAATCTAAGCACACGTGCCCAGATTTGAAAAGGGGGGGAAATGGATGATTCATTAGTAAAACTAGAAGGGCGATGCCAATATTGACAGTAGTTTATAATAAATTGGTTAAAAGATGTGGAAAATCATCAGTTGCTCAATAACCCATTTTTCCTTGTGTTCTTGCCAGATCAAAACGTCCAGTTCCAATGCAAACAAGCATCCCGAGGATCGATTCTCCCATGCCCGTGATCCCTCATCAAAAGGTAGACGTCTAATAGCTTCCTTTGTTTCTGTTGTGTTTCTGGATATAAAAGTTTTCTTCAGGGAGACTGACCTTTGAGTGGGAGAAATTACAGTCACAATATTGTAATGTATCACACGGCAAAAATTACTCTTCCCTTCTACATGAACAGAATAGCCATCCATCTCCTCTCTTCCTCCTAATTTGCAATAATATGTCCCTAGGGTTCAAAAGAATCCGCATCTTTGAGAGATACACTCATTGTCTACAAGTTCTAGATATCCTTGTTAGGTGTTGTGTCTATTGTACCTTCTTCTATCCTGTTTCCCTGAAAATACAACCTACCCTGAAAGTAAGCCCTAGCTTGATTTTTTACATGTGTACCCAATATAAGCCCTACCCTCAAAATAAGCCCTAATTAAGATCCCACCCACTCCAGAGTAGACAGGTAGAAATTAAGCTAGGGTGGGGATGGAGGTGGAGCTGCTCTACTACTTACCTTTGGACAGTTGTAGCCAGACCTCACACACCCCAACATCTCCCTTGCTGGCCCATTTCTTCTGCACCTGGCAAGGCTGGCAAGACTTTCCTGAAGGCCTCTGGAGCTGATAACAAAGCTCTGGATCAATCTGGAGGTGTGTTGTCAGCTGCAGAGGCCTTCAGGAAAACCTTGCCGGCTGCAGAAGAAGCTTCTAAAGGCCTCTGACCACGAAAAGGAGGCCAAGGGCAACATGCACAAGTGAAGTTAGTCAGTGGATGACATCCCCACAAAATAAGACCATATGCCTTTTTGGGTGGTTAAAAATATATATAAGACAGGGTCTTATTTTCAGGGAAATGCGGTATTTATTGGATATTGGCCTATTAGCTAGGCATTTCTGGGAATCTTTTTGCTTGATCATTGGGGTAAAAAAAAAAATCCTTCAGTAAATAATTGAAGTATTTCAATAAATAAGAGGTAATAACAAAGCCAAGCAAAGCAGAGAGCCGTCTTAATATTAAAATGTATAATGAGAAGAGAATAGGGATTATATTTAACACCAGCATTTCTAATAAAAACTCCAGGAAAGAGTCAATAAAACGTTTCCTTGACCAGAGCAAGGAAACTATGGGTTCGCTTCAGGAGTGGGCTGCTACGGGTTCACACAGGTTTGGGTGATCCTCTAGCTAAGATTCTGGATTCACTGAACCACCAAATCCCACCCCTGTCTGGCCATGCCCACCCCTCCCAGGAGTCCCCACGCAGCCTGTTTTGGATGCCAGGTAAGTACAGGGCCCATGCAGAGTCTGGAGAGGGCACAAAACGGGCCCATTTCCAGCCTCTGGAGAGCCTCCGGAGCCTAGGGAGGCTGTTTTGGCCCTCCTGGGGGCTCCAGGGAAGCCTCTGGAGCCCGGGGAGGACAAAAATGCCCCGTCGTGGTGCAGGAGGCCAACTAGGCCATGCCCACCATGACCATACCCACCCAGCAACCAGGCAGAGAACCCATTGCTAAAAATGTTGAAGCCCACCCCTGGTTCACTTCTGACTTTCAACGCTAGGAGCAGGGAAAGAAAAAGTATTTGAGTGCCTTTCTCTTCCTTGTGTTTCAAATCTTTATCCTAACGCGACGAGCTTTCAAAATTGGAAAAGCCTAAAGGGTGAACCATGAAGGGTAGATACAGGTGTTTGCACAAATAATCAGGGTGAAGATTCACAAAGTGGGATGGCCCACACTTCTGACTTATTTTCAGAGACAAGGTAGCCTTCAACTTATCTCACCTCTGGGTTTCTTCTTGCACAAAAGGACCCTCGGAGTGAGCAATTAAATAGATACATTCTTTGGCTCGGAGACACAAGCAATGAGATAAAATGAAGGTTTTCTATTGTTTAAAGACTTTTAAAAGACCAAAGTTGAGACAGGAGGCTGAAAAGATGTCTCGTGCCTTTCTTGTTTTTTTTTTTTCTTCTTCTTCTTTTCTTTCGTCGGCGCAGAGAGAAAATTAATTCCAGCATTCTGAATTCTCCATGAATCTAAATGTTGGGAGTTTATAAAAAATAGTTAGGTTGAGGGACCCACTTATATTCCAATATTTGAGGGACTGCCACAAAGAAGACTGGGGGGGGTGTCAATTTATTTCCCCAAACACCAGAAAGCAAAACAAAAAACAATGGGCGGAAACTAACCGAGGAAAGAACCAACCTAAAACTAAAGAGAAATTTCCTGACGGTGAGAACAGTTCACAGTGGGACGGCTTGCCTTCAGAAGTGGTGGGTGCTCCATCACTGGAGGTTTGTAAGAAGAGATTGGACATCCATTTGACTGGAATGGTATAGGGGTTGGACTAGAAGTGGGGGGGTGGGATGCTAGCGGTTCACACTGGTTCAGGTGAACCGGTTATTAAATTTATGGCCAGTTCAGCGAACCGGCAAATCCCACCCCTGGCTGGCCCCGCCCACCCCACCCCTCCCCTTCCAGGAGTCCCCCCACAGCCTGTTTTGGATCATAGGTAAGTGCAGGACCTGTGTGGAGGCTTGGGGTGGGCGAAAAACGGGCCTCCTTGAAATTCCAGAAGGCTGAAAACAGCCCTGCCCCCGCAACCCATTTTCACAACCAGGGTGGTGCAAGAGGCCAACTAGGCCACGCCCACCATGGTCATGGCCACCCAGCAACTGGGCAGAGACCCGGTTATTAAACTATTTGAAGCCCACCTCTGACTAGAAGACCTCCAAGGTCTCTTTCAACTCTGATGGTGATGATGACGATGATGCTATGAACGTGAATTCTTCCTGCAGCATGGAAGCTGGCAGCTTGGAATTCAAACCTTTTCATCATGAACAGGGACCAGATGAAGACTCGATGAACAGGGACCATCTGATCACGGTTTCGATCTCTTTGGCCAAGGGGGTAAAGATAGATCGGGAGCAACCAGGGTAGAATTACTGACGCTGACTCCAAAATCCCTGCGGTGTCAATGACCCTCTCTCATTGGCTCACACCAAAGCTATGTCCTAGGCAGGATCTATGAATAGCTTCTTCTCTGCAGCTTGCTCTGCTCGCTGTATTTCATGGCCTTGACCAGCATGAACTTTTCCAGCAGCCTTTATAGCTGAAACTAATTATGCAGAGGCCAACTACAAACCCTTTCACCCTTTCCTTCCGCCTTTATTGCATTGTCATGAATGCAAGTGCTTCCCAGTAATCCCGGTTTCCACTGTCCCATCCAGGCAAACAAATTGGCACTCACAGTGGACGACCTGTTATATAAGCAGTAACAGCAGCTGTTTGGAGAAGATTGATTAAGGGTCCTCTTTGGGAAGAGGCGAAGTTAATGTTTTCGCTTGAACTAATGCAAGTCTATTGAAGTTGCTTTTTATTTGTTTGGATGCCAATGCCTAATACAGGGAGTCCTTGACTTACGACCACAATCAAGCCCCAATTTTCAGTTACTAAGCGAGACATTTGTGTGTAAAGTTGCCAACCAGGGCTACAAGTAAAAGAAATATACCCACACCAAGTGATTTGCTTCGGCTTGTCTATAAACAGCAATATATTCCAGATTTTGTTTGGAATGGCCTTCATTGGATTTACCCTGTTTGGATTTCTGAGACCAACCAATTCTGTCCTGACAGCTCAGACTATAAAATAGCAATAGCACTTAGACTTATATACCGCTTTACAGTGCTTTTACAGCCCTCTCTAAGTGATTTAGAGTCATCCTATTGCCCCCAACAATTTGGGTCCTTGTTTTACCCACTTTGGAAGGACAGAAGGCTGAATCAACCTTGAGCCTGGTGAGAGTCGAACTGCCAAATTGCAGGCAGCCAGCAGTCAGCAGAAGTAGCCTGCAGTACTGCACTCTAACCACTCTGACACCACAGCTCATCATACCTACATTTTCTTTTCTTTTTTGCTTAAATAAATGGTTGGCAACCTTACTGCTCTATGTAGAATGCCAGAGCTGGGAATTTTTCCTTTCTGCATGAATGTTATGATCGTTTTCCTTCCTTTCTTCCTTTTTTTCCCTCCCCTCCTTTTCCTTCCTTTGCCTGCATATTTGCTTCTACAGGATTCGGTCTCAGAAGTCAGTGGCGATCGAGGGAGCTTCAGTCCTCTAAATAGCACCTCAGTGGGGCCCAAGAATAGCATGTTAGCCAGCAATGGGGCCCATTCAGGCTACCTCAGCAGACAAGAGACCAGTCTGTCACAGAGCTCTTCCTTCTTAATGAGTGCCAGCTTTAGATCTTCCATGTCCTCCTCTCATTCTGTGACCCCTGACCTCTCACCAGCGAAATCTGACTTAGGTTCCAAAACAGGCACAGTCTTTACCGACGGCAATAAAGCGAAGGCCCAGCTGAGCCCCGCCAGGCAATATAACAACCCCATTGGTCTTTATTCAGCAGAGACTCTAAAAGAAATGGCTGAGATGCATAAGTTAAGTCTCACTCGAAGGGCTTCGGAAGGTGGACTCCTTAGATGGTAGGTAAATGCCATCAACTTGTTTTGCAACGATGAAATCAGAAGCATTGGGGAAATAAGCAACTGCCACAGAGGTGGACTGTGGCTGGTTTGGACCAGTTCTCCCAAACCCCTTGCTCCGATTCTGCCTAGTTCAGAGAACTGGCAAATTGGACCACTGGATGGCCCCACCCCCATCTGTTTTGGGGCCGTTTTCAGCCGGTCTTGGGGTGAAAAATGGCCTGAAAAAGCCCTCAAAAAGGGCCTGAAAACAGCCTGAAAAATGGCCTGAAAATAGCCAAAAAACAGGCCAAAAATGTTTGGGGGTGGGGCCAGCCAATGATGGGATTAGCCCCAACCTGAATCCTGCCTGTTCCTTTGAGGCCAGTGGCCGGGAGGCGGGGCTGGGTGTGATGAGTGACATCACACACCCAGTCACCTGATCAACTGGCCACGCCTACCCAGCCAGAGAACCGGTTATTAAAAAAATTGCAGCCCACCCCTGAACTGCCACAGGGAACCCCCCCTGGAGACGTTCGCTGCAGAGGTGGGCATTTTCATTTATCAATAAGTAGGTCTGAAGAAG